AAGCATGCTCTTATTGCAGCAGGGACTGTGTTCTGAGTCTCTATTCTACGTATATGTATGTCATAGGCTTGGTATGCACCTGTTTAGTATTCCGCTTTCCGTATATTTTCAAACGGGATACAGAGACAAGGGAATGCAAGCTTTTTTTGTAAGCCTTGTTTGAGTTTATGAACCTTGCAGGTTTATAAACCACATGATGCCTCGGATTCTGCCTTGCAAGTCCACTAAGTGCAAGGAAACGCTCCNNTGTATGTATGCATGTATGTACGTGTGTACACATGTATATGCCCCTTTATATCTCTGAGCAGGAGTTGCTCCTGACCCCCCTCCCCACCCCACCACCCCATTGTCGAACATGATTGTCAGAGTTTGCGGCAGCATTGCAACTCTTTTGCAGGGCTCTTCAAGATAGAATCGCCATCTGGTCAAGTGGCGGATTTACTGCAGCTGTACTACTCGCAGCCATCACAGCAGTACTTCAGTCAGAACAAATCATACCAGCAAGCCTCAAGCCTCCAAGGCCACCAGAGACACTGCATTACCTGGGGATCTCGAGGAAGAAGCCGTGCTTGGAGCAAGGATTTACTCTTTTCAGGGAATGAGGCACGTTACCATGAAGAACCTGCGGAAGAAGAACAGAAAGGAAAAAGACGCAGGCATTTCTCTTGAAATGCGGGTCCCCTTCTGCATCTCAAGGTAAACGACATCTTTCACACTAGGAGCGCTTTGAAGGGGACCCATATTTCTGAGACACTCCCACGTCTGCTGTTTGGACACTGGGTGCTTGCTTCAGCCACAGGATGATGCACATGGCGGCAATCTGCGGGACTGTAGACAGGCACACGGGCGTGATGGCGATCAAGAAGTTGGCTGCAGTGAGAATCCTAGGTTCTCACGAGATTACAAGCAGAACCGACTTCGTACTCTTCTTTTCCTCGAAAGAGCCACATAAAATGCCAGAAACTGCTACTAAGCAAGATCCTGGAATCAGGCAGCATTGATACCTATCCGGCTTGAACCGTCCGAACAAGAAGTGGAAGCGATGTAAGACCTCGACCCCCTTGTTAGATCGTAGCCACCGAGGATACCTCAGTCATCTTTGGAGCCATGATCAAGACTGCAGCTCTTGTTCTTTAGGGTTTAGGGTTTAGGGTGGGGTTCTATAGGGATAATGGAAAAGAAAATGGAAACTACTATAGTATATTGGGGTTCTATAGCGATAATGGAAAAGAAAATGGAAACTACTATAGTATATTGTAGACACCCTGAAATTTTAAAAGCCATAATCGCATCACAAGGATTCCATCAAAAGGCTGCTTGTGTTGAGAAACTCCCATTATGTTTCTCCTGCACGTTATGCCTGAAAATTCAACCCAACAACGGCCCAGATGCTTGTACGTAATCCAAGACCTGGGCGCAAAAGAATACTTGAAGAAACGAACTATATAGGGGTTATATAGGGGATATATTGGGATAATGCAAAAGAAAATGGAAACTACTATTTACACACGCGCATCGCACAGCAGTGCAGGCACGGAAGCAACTGTCCGGGTTTAGGGATATGGGGGGCCTGCCCTATCTGCAGCCCTGCAGCAGACATGCGAGAATGGTCGTGGGGTATGCGAGAATCCCAGCAATCGACATAGCCACAAGCGTTGCGTGTTCTTCTGACTCCCAGCAAATCACCTGGACCGTGGCACAACATGTACATATTCCTGTAATACAATATGGGGGGGGGGGTACTGTAGGACATCTTAACTTACTACGTTTTGGGTCTCCTCAACCCTACACTTTTGAAGAAAAATCACCACCCACCTGCGGATGGACCTCCAGGGTAAAAGTCAAGTTCGGATTCCTCAGCAGCAGCTGCTGGACTCTGAAGGTATGTCAAAATCCAGGGGTTTTGAAGACGTGGGTCTAAGATTAAAAGGGCAGCCAAAGACTGCCTGCGCCGGGACCTTCTGACACATGCCGATGGTCCCAATTAGATAGTCAGGAATCCAATCGTTATTCCTCTACTTTGTTGGTCCTTTGGATCTGTATCATGTTGGTTTTGGTGGCCTTCCACGACTCCCATGCGCTTTTGAATGCCTAGGGTGGAGTTTTTCTCATTTTTTGGCTTTAAGGCTTTCCGGAGAGCTCCCAAACGCTTGTTGAGGGCCTCGGGGGTTTGAAAGGTGCTGGCCAACTCGCCCCCAATGGTATGGCGATGGCATAGTCCCACAAGTGCTAGCATTTGGTAATTTCAACTGCTTCAGAACTTTTTGGTGCTGGGCGCGACTTCTCCCAGAGCTGTGGGGGTGGTTGTCTTCAATGACCATCATGATTCCTCAACCCCAATGGCTTGGTGGTGGCATAAGGTCCCACAATCGCCAGCATTCTGGTATTTGACGGTCGCCGTAGCATCAAAACCTGCATTTGAGGTCAGGCAGATCCTGTGTGGTAGCTTTCCTTCTCCTATGACTGAAATTCAGATCTTTCCCCCTGCCACCTGTGGTGTGGTGGGCGGGCTTTTTCCCAGAATTGTCAACATGTTTTGCTGAAAACATTCAGACCTCCTGCCCTTTGGGGCGTTGGTGGTTGTCTGCCTTCAGAAACTGTGACCATTCTTTGCTGACGTCGTTCAAATCTTTTGCCTCCTCGTGGAGTGGGTGGTAAACCAATGACGGTTCTCGGCTCGTGACTAGGATACCCACCATTCTTGTGACTGTTGGCACTTTTGAAATCTGCGACGCCAAGGATGGTCACGATTACAGGGAGTTTGACCAGGACGCGCAGCATCCCTGTGACTGTTGGCACTTCTGAGATTTGAGATATCAAAAAACGACGACAGCTGCGATAATGGCACCTCCAAAGCCTCAAAAACGAGCAGTTACAAGGATCGCGACATGGACACACGTCTGTATTTCTGTGACTGTTCACATGTGAGAGAGTTTTGGGCTGGGGGGAGGGAGGGGCCACATATAGAAAGTTAAGAGCTTTAGGGATTATGTAGGGACCAATTTGGAGAAACCCATCTGTGATGCTTAACGCGTGCAGTCCGAAACCGTATCATCGCTCCGGGGAGTTGTTTTTGTAAGGCTTTGGCTAGAACATTTTTACAACGCCCGCCCGCGTGTGGTGCTCGTTACGGAACGAAATCGTGGCAAAAGCGATGACAGTTCTGCACTTTGAGAAAATGAGCCCTTAAAACGACAACTATTCTGCACTTCGCGACAAGCACTGCGCGGGACTGTTGTGGGAGGGCGGCACGCAAAAGCACGTTGAGAACTAGAATCGTGCCAACACCTAGGACAGATCTGCACTTTACGAAAAACGACACAAGGGGGGCCATCTGCGAACAGAATGATCAGATTACATGCTTTTCAGAGGAAACGCTGCAGCATAAACACTTGCAGCCGCTCTTTTGCACGGTTTAGACGAGGGGGGGTTGCAAACACGATCATCAGATGTCATGCTGATTGTGCTAACCATTTGAAAAAACGGCGGGGGGTTGGAGGGTGAATGATCAGATGACATGCTGTTCAGACGAGAACTTCAAGATACACAATTTGAGCCGGTTTTCTGCATGCCTTGAACAAAGCAGGCGGTCGTGGGGACTCAGCCCCAGCATTTGCCTAATTGTCAAGCTGATTGCAGCAGCCTTTTGAAAAATGCAGGGGTGCTGGGGCAAATGGGCACAGCGACGCGATGTGCGAACAGAATGATCAGATGACCTGCTGTCCTGACCAACGATTTTAAAGATACACCCTTGCAGCCAGTTTCTTGCACGGCTGGAAAAAAGTGGGGGTTTGGGAGGAGCGCAGCCGGCAAACATTATTGCGGGGCGGCGCAGCCTCACCCATGTGCGAACAGAGCGATCAAATGACACGATCTTCAGATGAAGCGGCTAAAGATACGGACTTGCAACCTTAGAAAAAGCGCGGGGGTGGGCGGGGCGCAGCTCGCGCCCTTTGAACACACCAATCCCTAACAGTAAATGCTCAAAATCAATGTTTTAAGGATTTTTCCAATAGGAGACGAGATTACATGGCGGACCATTTGTTGGTGTGAGGTATTTCCGCAAAACAACACCCTCTACCCCAAATTAACATGGAACTCGAAAAGACATGTTTGAAGACCACTGTTGTCTAAAAACGGCCTACCTGGGATTCCATGTGAGCTTGGGGGAGGGTAAGGTTCCCAGCCTTGCAGTAGGAACTGTCGGGTGTGACAGTATACCCTGCCCCAAACAAACATGGAATATAACTGTAAGAAGACCACCCCTTTTCCAGTGATTCAATGGGATTTCATGTTAGTTTGGAGCCGGAAGAGTGTACCGTCTTATGCTACGTCCCACACCCTCTGAAAGATCCTACGCTTATTTCTTGAATGTGTTTGTGTTCTTTCTTGCTTTCATTCTCTCTCTATAATGGTATTTTGTTTCTTCGCTTCTTTTTGTTTTTGTTTGCTTCCTTCTTTCTCTCCCTATTACGTATTTCTGTCATTCCTTGCTTCCTTGCTTTCTACGTCTTGTCTTTATATCTACCTCTGAAACCTTCTCCGCTAAAATCCTTTTGTCTTTCATCTTTCGCTTCTCTCTTTCTTTCTGCTTCTGATTTTCTGTCTATGGATCTACTCTCTGAAGCCTTACATGCTTCTGTCTTTCTTTGTTGTGTTCCTGCTCTTTTTGTGCGCCATCTGTTGAGGTTTACTTGACTCTCTCTCTCTCTCTCTCTTCCTTTCGTTGTTTCTCTCTCTGCCTCCGTCGTTCTTTCTTCGTATATTTCTGTAATTTCTTCTTGCTTCCTCTCTTTTGTTCTCATTCTCTTCTTCTTCTTCTACGTTCTCATTCTCTCTCCCTCTCTCTCTTTTCTTCTTCTTCTCACTGCTTCATTCTCCTGCGTAGAGGAGGGCCGGGGCACAGCCCCAGGGCCCGCAAGAGTCTCATGAACCGCCGATGACCCGACTACTGAACATATCAGAGCACCGGAGTCTCTCTCTCTTTCTTTGTTTTCTTTTCATTCATTATTTTGTTGTCTCTCTGTTTCTTTCTTTCTTGTCGGAATTTCGTTCCTTTGTTCTGTCTTTTCTTTATGTGCGTCGTTCTTTCTTGTTTCCTTCTTTCTTTCTTTCCCTTGGAACCTGCAGCCCCAAAACCAAACAGAAACGCAGAAACAAAAGGATAAAACTATAGTCAGGCCATCTGGACTCTTAATATCACATGCCAAACAATGGCTTGGCATGCCAGTGCAATGAAACGAATGCCTACAGAAATTTGCCATCATGTTGTAGCCAGGCTTCTGCTTGCACTTCAGAGGCATGACAGTCGCCAGTGACATCGCAGTAAAAAAAGACACAAGAATCAGACCATAGATGTTTGCGAGGGTCTTGAAGAGACTGACACCCTTTACCAGCCTCGCTGTCGCTGCCGGTAGGATAGAGACCAGGACAAATATAGGGAAAGCCAAGAGCTGTAGGGCAAAGGAGGTCCTGGTAAATGAAGGACCGTCAAAGAAGCATGTCAAGCCCAGCCCAAAGCCACCTGAGCTCTGGAGGTGCGCGCATGTGGTGTACTCTGGGTTCCCCAAAATACATGACGACAAAAAGGGACTAGCTGCCTAGCCACTGAAAATGAAGGCAAGCACAGCAAGAAAGTCTTTCACGGGCAGTACCCATGCGATGTTCAGCTCCTTTGTTCACCAACTGCGAATCAAGAGTGAATGAAAAGTTATTACTGGCATACTGAGAAAATCCTCAGCTGAGGGAGGCCCCCGTATGCCCGTAGAAGGACAACCCGCAATAACATACCTGATGGTTTTGGGAGCTCTTGTGGGTTTTCAGCTACAGGCGTGGAGCTTAATCCGGAACACCTACAGCGACACAGTACTCCCTGAAACAATACTAGGGCTATATTAGGGTGGCTATATTGGAAAAGAAAACGGAAACTACAGGGATTATAGGGATTATACAGGATCTATATAGGGATTCACAATCCTGCATTGCTCTCCCTTCCCTTTGGCCCCCCTTCTCGCTTATTTGCCCCGGGTTGCCCCCACCATAAACGAACCCAATCCTGCCCTCCTGCGGCCCTGCACACAGCCCGCAACTGCGCAATGGTTGTCAGTACGGACTGACATTCCGCACTAGCCAGCAAGCCTACGCTTGGGTCGCTCTGTCGTGGGCACTCCTTCCCGGATGCTTCCTGCTCTGTCGCGGCCGCTCGCCCACATTTTGATATAAGTACTGAATTACCATACAGCAGACACCGTATTGTGTTGCTACTTGCTGCTACATATATATATATATATAGTATTCTGTGTGGTATTGCGGAGGTTTGTGTGTGTCACAAAGTAGATATACTGTAAGATGCATATAATCCAATCGCCCAGTCTCCTGGATGGCATGTAGTGCCTGCAAAGCCACCGCCGTCTGTCCAGCCATGGCACCAACGATGGCAAGGCTAACCACATGCCTGTTCCGCGGTTTTGACAGAAGAAGGTATGTCAAGTTTACCTTGCAAAGGTCATGTTAGGTTTGCTCAGGGGGCTTATGCAGCGTTTACTTTGTGGCGTTATGTAGGGCTTACATTGCCCGGATTATGTGAGGTTTTCCCACTTGAAGGGCTGTGCAGGATCTACTTTATAGTGGCTATGTAGAGCTTGATCAGAGGAACCATGTACGGTTTTATTGGGTCTGTGTCAAGTTTACGCATAGGGGTTCTCTTGAGTTTGCTTTGGAGTGGCTATGTAGCAATCACTCTACGCGGAGTGTGTGAGGTTCTTCCCCTTCAGGAGCCATGTAAGGTTTATATTGTCAGGTAGAGGTTTATTTTAAAGGGGTATCCAGGGGCCTTGTAGGGTGTACGTTACAGAGATTCCTTCCTGTTTGATTTATGGTGCCTAGACAAGGGTCATGTAGGCTTTACTGTGTAGGGGTTATGTAGCAGCTTGCTTTCTAATCGCTGTGGGGGGCTTGCTTTGCTGGGTTTGTGTAGTGCTTGCCTTGTAGGGATTGTGCAGGGAGCAAACTCAGCTCGCCCTAAGAGGGTGCGGATCCCTGAAACGACATTCTTCGATGTATATGGTGGGCGCTTTTTTTGGGGGAGCGCTACCGAAACTTTAGCCAGACAATGTTCACGAGAATATTGGCAAGCTTAGGGCCTAAGGCTTAAGGTGCACATTCAGGGCTTTGCGAATTTCTCAGAATGCGGACCCGCTTCATACCCCACAAACTATGACAAGAACCCCAAGATAGTTGAAAGGCGGTCCCGGTTGCAGGCGTAGAGCTCTAAGTGGATCAAGTTTGGATTTTTGTAGGTTTAGGGCTAATGGCTGGCCCTACCCTTTTCAGGGTGTGCAGGATTGGCTGAATGTGGAAACTTGGAACGCAGGAAATAACCCTAAACTTTGAAAACCCAACAAGTGAAACCCTATATGAGCTATAGTCTACACTCCTAGTATCCCCCTTGATAACCCCTAGAATACTCCCCTATAGAATCCACTATATAACCCCTGTAAGGAGTTTAGACTATAGCTTACATAGACTTAGACTATAGCTTACATAGACTTTAGACCTTCTAACCTGAACCGTACCCACCTCCGGGATCGAAACTTGCCGCAGGAGAACGCGGCCGCGAAGGGTGCAAGACCGACGAGACATGTCACAAGCACCAGCACCACGGGCAACGAAGACGCGGATTCACCTTAGATACTCCGCTGCAAGGAGCGTATCAGGCATCAGAGCTGTATATAAAAAGTGTGCAAAAATGTGCGAAGACGCGAGGCTTGTGGATAGGGCCGGATAGGGTGAACACATAAGGGAAATGTAGGGTATGCATCGGGTAGACATGATGCCTGAGAAGCTTCCAGCAAACAAAAAAAATTGCCCATGCCTTTGAAAAAACACAAATAATCACATAATATCCGTGTCCGCTGGGATTGAAATCTGCAACAGACCATCTGAGCACTGGCTCAAACTAGACACCCTCTGCCTGATGGAGGTTCCTACACCGCAGAACAACCTTGCTTGAACCGGCTGTGGGCCGATCTAATTTATCTCGCGGGAGCAAACGAGAACCAACAAGCCCCAAAGGAAGGAGAAAATGTCCATCGATTTTTCAGGTTGCTAGAAAGGGGATCATACCTTTTTGCGTTAGTCAGATGAGGGGTCGAACACTACCTTAACAGCAGAAGCACCATGGTGGTTCTAAAAACACTGAAATCCAAGAAAAAATATCCAAACCCTTTAAGAAGGAATGTTTAGGTTTAAGATGGTCCGAGGGGTGGTCTGAACCCCGAAGAGTCAGAAGCATTTCTATTTAGGGTCATTCTTTCTTATTATTCTTTTCATTCTGGGGGGGGGAAGCTATGGAAGAGCTTGCGGACTAGTGGCATGGTCTGCACAGCTCGTCAGTGCCTGCCCAGTACCCGCGCTGACATAGAGCACATGCACGGCCCATACGTCTTGGCGCACATGTCCCCGCAGCACCTGGCCAAACTCATCTGACTTGCCCTTTAAGCCATATGAAACTTATTTACTATTATGGTTCCCTACAAAATAATAGAGGAAATTCAAAAAATCCCAAAGTACAACCCAGTCATCTTGCCTGCTTACTTGCATCTTGTTTGACGCGGGCTACGGCCTTTAAGCAATATCTTGAAGTCCAAACACTTTACATTGATACGACATCTCAGCGGCGGGTCACCCCTAATTTTCGGGTCTCTTATGCAGCAGATGACAGATGGCTTCGTTGCTGGCTGCGCTAAGCCTATCCGCACACGCACCTGTTTTGAGGGAGCTACTCTACGCTGTATAACCCCTAGTACCTAGTGCCGTAATCCCTGATAACAAAAAACGACCCTTGAGCTCGAACATCATGCACCTTCAGGACAATGCCTGCGATCCCTGCAGGTGTAAACGGAGAACTGCCCGGGGTCTGATGCCCCACCACTGCCTGGAATTACCTGAGGGCATTTTGGAACGCTGGGGTCCGTCTAACCTCCCAGAAACTATAATCCCTATAAATGTTTCTGATGAAACGGGCAATAGAATGGATTCCCCAAAACAGGATTTCTAATTTTGCAGAAACCTCTACCTCTGCCCAGAAGCCGTGCTCCTGGCGTGGAAGATATTCGCCCCCGGCGCAAATGAGGCCCCTGACCAAGGACCAACCCCAAACACACCAAACTAATCCCCTCCCCGTTATACTGACCCCCACCCTTTCCTGGATAATGAAGACGCCCAATGTCGTACCGTTACATACTAGCAGGATAGTTTGGTGGGATCCAACCCGCTTGTAATCCTTGCCGAACACTACTTGTGCCGCTCCCAGTGAGCACCCACATGCCAAAGGGGAAATTTTATTGTCACGGGGCGATTAAGTTCACAGGATTTGTCTTCGGCCACTGCAAAAGCATTTGTTCCGGGGACAGTCTGACGTTCGGATTCCCGCACCTTACTGTTCTTGAAGCAATCTCGCAAATTACACAAACAAAACAAAATTAGCAAAAACAGGCCCTAAGCCCACTGCGACAAAAAAGTCCTAAACCCCTAAGCAGCCTGGAACATGACTCACACGTCGTAGCTCTTGCGAAGGAGCCCTGTTGGCACTGGCACTCGCCTTGATCCCGGGCACCTGCAAGCAAAATCTGTGCAGGGCTTGGGTTTTCGAGGTTGGCTTTATTTGAGGCTTAAAGGTTTTTAGCGGTAGGAATCACGGTTCTGGATTTAGGGCTTCATTGGCTTGGTGTGGGGCTGGGGTGTTTTGGTGTTGGGATTTAAGTTTGGTTTGCTGCGCAAATGCGCCCAGACCCCTGCAATTGTGGTAGGGGGTCTGTGCATGAGCTGCCCTCAGCACCTTGGAGATTCAAAATCACTCCTGCAAAGCAGTCTACAGCCCTGCACTGCATGGCATGCTTCTAGAACACGTTGTGCTGTATTTTTACCTGTCAGCTTCAACAACCGCGCCTAGGACGTTCGTTGTCTGCCTCTCTGCGCATGTGCTGCACTCAGTGGCAGCCGTAACAGACTGAAATTGCCCTTTCTCACACTGCTGGCACAGCGTGGCCCCAGTCTGGTTGGCAAAAGTGCCAGCCAAGCACGGATCACATGTCACGGCTCCGTAGGAGCTCTGCCGGAACCCTGGCCTGCAAGGCCGGCATTGTGCGGTGTCAGAGCCATCTCGGATCAAGTCCGAAAAAGTTCCCGGAGGGCAGGGCCGGCAAGAGATGGCATCGGCTCGCACGTCGACGAATGTACCGTTGCCAAACATGCCGTGTCCAGGAAAGCAACTTGTGACGTCTGGAACCCAAGAACTCCACACGGCTGTGTTGTTTTGGAGCCACTCCTATGTTGCCCTTGTTGTTGGAGGGCAGAACTGTCTTTATAATTTCACAACGTCATTCTCGTCTTGTTCTATAAAAAGACAGGTCTGACCGCTCGAAAAAGATAGCAACCACCAACAAAAAACTCATTTTCGTAGAGCTCAGTGTCACAGGCCAAAGAGCGCGTGTCAGCCTCCCCTTGCACCCCGCGTTCGCGAAGTTGGACTGCCATGTACTCCTTGTCCTCTGTCTGGAAATTCACACGCTTCATCATCTCTAAGAACAGCGGGGCCCATTGAGAAAGGTCTTTGTTCGCAATTTTTGAAAGCCTTAAGCCAGCTTGTTGGCTGGTCTGTCGCCCCACAGCCCACTCTCTCACGCTGTGGCTCGGGAATATGATGCTAACCGGATTTGCTGATGCGAGGATTCCGTCATCCGGACTCCAGTACATGAAAAGCACGGCGTGGGTCGTGGGAATTCGAGTGAAAGGCCCTGTGGCCCAGCCATATGCTGATCCCACAGCAAGTGGCATCTCCCAAACGGCAGCTTTTTGCATCACTTCTTCAATGCTCCAGGGAAAGCTGAAATATTCGTACAAGATGCACGGAATGCACTCCTACAGCAACCCAAGCGTGAATGCCTTCAAACTAACAGGCCGACCCCTTAGAGTGACATAATAAATGGAAAAGGGCATCTTCGCCAATGCTACAGTAGCTGCTCCAGCCAACTGCAAAAAAATCTGAATAGTCGTAGCAAAAGTTGAGAGACCCTCAACATTCCCCAACCAGTGCAGTTCCAAATCCAGCCCAAGCTCCGTCGAATTGTCGCGACATGTCGGAGCCAACCACCAGTGGTCGTCGTGGCAACGTGGTCTCATGGTTTGCATCCCGCTGGCGCCATTGACCCCATCTGTGTCGCCTGTGATTTGGACGTAGACGTCCAGGAGCCTTGGCAGCTTTTGGAACTCAGCACGGATATGGACGTCTTTTTTTAAGTAAATGCCGCACCCACAGCAACATGTTGCAAACACCTCCCAGACACTGCGGATAGAAAATGCCCCAATTAGCACAGGGCACGAGATCTGATTGATTCAAGTCCTGGATCCTGTTCATGCTCAGCAACACAAAAAGAATTTATTAACCCTAGTCCTCCACTGGCTTTGTGATTAGCCTATCAAGGCCTCAGCGCAAGGAACGCAGAACCGAGCAATCCATAGCATTCCAAAGTATGCCAACATTCAATGAAGGGTCCTTGCAAAATGCGGAAGAAGTGCTTCCTTGTGCCGCACATGGAAGGAGCGAAAATACTCCAAGGATATACCATTCGAGTTCAGGGCATCATCTGCCACACGTCGCGAAACATGTAAGCCCTCAATAATATGGCCACTGCTTCCCAAATCTTCCAGAACTCCTCCCACACGCGACCTTTGCACTTCTCCAATGACCTCCTCGAAGGCCGGGAGTATTGGAACCCTCCTTGGCTACTGTGACGTCACACCAATAACTTCTGAACACAAAGAGTTTCAACCTCATGCGCGAGCGCGCAACGCTGGTTAGGCAAGTGCAGTTTTGCCTGATGCAGTTCCGGCTTCCAATTCCTAGATTAAATCTGCAGGCCCATTGGTTTTGTGTACTTGCAAGCCGGTCCCCTGGGGCAGCTAAATAAGAAAAACATGCAGTCTACATTTTTGCAAGGAGCACACGACCTCAGGGCACTGGTTTGCAATTCAGGAAGCGACAGCAGAAGTAAGACTAGAGGCCTCAAGCTTCAGTTTACGAGGCAAGCCAGGACGTACACAAGCCAGAAGGTCCCAGTGAGATTCCAAAAGATGAATCCAACAAGAACCTACTAACCGTTACTAACCCCTTTAAAGGTCTGCAGGTGTGTGTTTCCTGCCAAAGCGCTGGGCGTACCCGCTTGATTTTCCATGCTTTTGGCGGATCAAACTTGATCCCATTTCCCAAGTAACTAACACCCGAAGCTCGATTCGACATTACTTGATCCAATTCCTTCGGGATTGATTTGACCTTGCAAAACTTGATCCTGCGAAGCCACGTCCTACGGAACTTGCTTTCCATGACAACTCTGCGATATTCCGCAAACGCCAGGCGGTCACAGCAAGCTTGATCAATGCTTTGTGCTGTCACACAGTGACAGCAGTCCAGTGTCCAGCCACAACCCTTGGGTGCTCATTAATGTATGCATTCTGCGCAGCATACAATCTGGGACAGTACTGCAACCAGTGGGATGTAACAGGCCAGGGTGATTGGCACTAAATAATACTTTCAATTTTCTTTCCATTATCCCAGTATAACCCCAATATGCTCCCGGCCGCCGTCCAAGGACGACCGGGATCCCTAATTCCTTTGTATTTCTTCCTATACCCCCTAATGACCTCAAAACCCCCCTGATTCATTATTGGGTGGCCCCTTTTAAAAGCAGTCTTCCCCTTTCAAAAATAGTCTTCTGGATTTCTAAGCTTTTGAATTAATTTTCTAATATTAGGGGGTGATGTAATATTAGGGGGAAGGGATTATACCATTGGGGTTATATAAGCATTATATAGGGGTTATATTATTGGGATAATGGAAAATAAAATGGAAACTAGCATGAGTGGATGATACAGGGAGTATAGGGAGTATAGGGGTCATACAGGGCTATATATAGCAAGACAATAACGATAATGTGCATGTAAGGGCTGTGTTTGGAAACAATCCCGCCCGAAACCGCATATCCAAAAAACGTCGCCGTAATGCCGGAATCCTCTGACACACAATTGCAAACCGAAGCTCATAAACGCATGTGATTTCGATCGCTCTCCTTGGCACAGCCATTGCGTCATGTTTAGCTCACATCCTGCAACCATGTAAATTGGCGTTGTCTCGCCGAGCGCGTCGTTGAGGGTATACCTGCGGGTTTTCAACGTCGAAAGGTTCAGGGCTCAGAACCTTCACTAAATCCACGTTGGTAATTAGTGTGCGACGTTTCCTTCATTAACTTTTTCTGCAGCTTAAAGAACCTGTCAAAGTGTGCTGAACATCAACCCGCACACTCGTCAAACCGCACGTTGTAGCCAAGCTTTTCTGTTGCAAGAATTTCAACGACCAAGGTTTTTCAGGCATAGGAGGGGCTTTGCTCAGCCACAAGGCCCAGAGGAAAAGCACCTGGTAGGAATTTTATCGTTTGACTAATCTTTCAATCAACCCCTACCGTAAATGCTTCGAATGCATTTAAAGCTGGTGCCACTTTACGGCAGAATTTCTAGCGTACAAAGTTTGAATGTCCTCAATCATGATATATGGTGTTTGTCCCATATAAGGGAACCTCAATATGGTATAATCCGTAATATGCGGACCCCCAAAAAGTTTCCTCACTTCTGGGAAACCCCAATTAAATCCTAAAATCTACATAGTAGCTTCAATCTTCTTTTCCACTATTCCCCATATATTCCCAATGTACCCTACATAACCCCTAATTTGTGTTCCCAAAAATTTCCAAGCAGGGGTGGTTCACCTGAGTCGCTTTGCAAATCCCGGCGCTCACTTGGTGGAACAGCATCCGGTAAGCAGGTGGAAGCGCGTGCGCAGACATAAGCCTTGCTTGGGGCCATGCGCATGTCATATGTTATATGTACTAAACCCATGGGGCTTCCTGAAGGTGTTAAAGGGCTCGGAATAGAGAATTGTGGGATTACCTAATTTCGGGGAGTTAACCAAAGGTGCAGGTGGGCGTTTACTGTCCAAGTTGTCTGGCCCGCCACGAAAAACTCAAGCGTAGTGTTCACCCTGAAGGCGCTTCCCCGCAAAGCATCCTTGCCTTTGCCTTTCTTTGTGTGGACGGTCCAAAGGACAGGGCAAGACACAGGACAACCCCAGTGATCGGGTGCTTATGCTGCCGGTATGTCCTCATAAGAACTGTCAATCGCCAAGCACCGAATCACCCAACCCCGGTATAATGGCTACAAACCGTACATCGTGTCCCAGTGCGTGGCCAAGATTCCACCGCTACGCAAGCCAATTGCACCAATGTCGCCCGTGGCATGGGATCTGTTGTGCATGCCCCCCGTGCTTTGCAGCAGGGGACCCTACGCTGGCCACTGGCTTGGGCCAACAGGGGCGACAACGAATTAATGAGTGCCTCCATGCTTATTGAATCCGCTAGTTGGATGAAGGCATGCAAATGCTCAGGAAATGTCGACCCCAGACCCCAGTCTGTGGAAAAAGAAATGTATGACCCCCCGTGGTTGTGCCCCTCTGGTAGGGAATAATTTTTTAATCCCTCTATCATTCCTCTATCAAATGTTCCCCGCAGCAAGTTATTTGACGGCTTCATGTCCAAAAAACTAAGACCGGAAAGCTGCAGTGCCGTTGACTTGAAGATCGAGCGAGGGAGATGGTGAAAGGGAAGGATGCGGGTAAGGAAGGGGGAGGGAGGGGAGGAAGGGCGAGAGTGCGGCGAAGGAAGAACCAACACTGGCAGCTTGACACCTGCAAAGGCACTTCCTCCATAATGCCCTCACAGGGCAAGTTTTGCCATCTAGTCTTGAAGGCTGACGCACGCATACGGCCTTGGCAGGTTTACGGGCCTAGATAACGAAGACGTCAACTTGCTGCTGGCCACCCTCCTACTTTGAGCAGGTTCCAGGTTCTAGTCAGCACGTAGTTGAAACGGAGCCGCCTTGACTCAGCGCTGCGACATTCAGCAGACCCCTCAAAGAAACGCGGGGCCCGCGCTCAGGCCACGCCGGACAGGTTTGCCGCAGCATGCGCTTTGGCTCAGCCGGCGGTTTTGTGACCACATTTACTTGCCGCAGCTCGTCCATGTCCAACACCACGCGGTGAACTTTGACGTTGAACGCATGCGCTGCCTCTTGCGCTCACACCACAAACTTGTTGCTACAGAAAGCAACATTGAAACTCTGGCCAGGCATCCGAGGGATAGCCGTGACTTCAAAACCCGACTCCGGTCAGATTACCCGGGACATGTTTGCTTGAAAGTGGGTGAAACGGCTTCATGGCTGCTTGCTGCTAGATATGATTTCAAGGTTCGCTTCTTGGCCTCATGGTCCCGCGATTTAGGCGAGCAAAGGTGCAGGACCTGCTTGCTGCCGTGACTGTCACATGGCATCCTTTTGTAGGGGCTACAGGTAAGGCAGTTGACATGAAAGTGCCACATGTGAGCGGCAACCAAAAAAAACGGCCTACAAATTTGATGGAAATACAGCAGCTTCCGCCCGCGAGCTTCCGCGGACCTTCCGCGGACCTTCCGCTAAACCTCTGCGAAGCCTGCTGGCAGGCTTTCAGACGCTGTGCTTCCGCAGGCTCTTCCATGGACGTTTTCGTCTAAGGTGCTTCCGCGGCGCTTACACGAAAGGGATTTTGGGTCTTCGGCGTTATTCGGTTCATTAGTCAAGCTTGAAGCGCTTCCCGAATTTTTCTCATCCCTTTTTTTATTCATGAACCTACCTGCGTAGAAGTGGGTGGACTCACGTTACGCTCAGGGCCAAGTGCTGCTGCCTGCGCATGACAAAACCAGCGGGCGGCCTGGCTTGTCGCAGGCGAGGTGTCAAATACAGCTGCTCCCATAAACGGGGTTCAGTGAAGCCCGAGTTGGCGTGCTGACATGCGAGCAAAATGTGATGGCACATACAACGTTTTTGCTTAACAACATTCTGGCACAACGCGCCCGCCCTTGCTCTGGCTCTCAGAGATGAAACAAGTCTGCGATCTGGCTGGTGCGAAACCCTTGCCAACCAAGTGACACATTCGTGTCGTGCAGATTTGCTATGGCTATGGCTTCCACCATATGCCTGCAAAGTGTAAAAGATCTACTTCGAACATCCCCAGCCGGCGGTCCGCTGGCACCATCAACTACGAGTACCCCCAACAACAAAGCGGAGCTAACAACGCAATTCAAAATTAACTGTGTGCCAGCCACCCTGCATTCCAAGCACCGCTGCTGGAGTGGTACCAGTTTCCTTTTCATTTTCCATGCTCTTGTCCATTTGATTCTCCATTATCCCAATATTAACGTATGTTGTTATATCATCTATAATGTTGGGCGCGGCAGGGCAACCTTGGGGCTGAGCAGTTGTCAATCATCTTCTGGGTTTGGGCAATTCAAACTCTGCGGCACTGTGCAGCTACTGGGCACTAAAGGGATGCTTTGCGTTTGTGCATTGCAGGTTGTCTGGGCACTGACGGGATATTCTGCGGTTGAGCACTGCAGGGACATTCAATATTACACGCTTGTGGATTTACTCTGCAGCTGGGCCCTGCAAGGCGCGTGCACTGTGGCACTACCACTTGCAGAATACTCTGCGGTTAAGCACTGCAGGGATACTCTGTCGCTGGGTCCTGGACAAAAGGCGAGGAAAACATATACTTCTTAACATCTCACGACCCCACTGCGAGGGACATCCAGCATGTACGAACAAAACTGGATACAAAGTTTAGCTGCTGATGAACCAAAAGCG